ATTTATAATGAAGTATACTTCACGAAAGCTCTCCGTGGCCATTTCATTTGTCGTCGAGAATCCAATCAGATTACACGACATTTGAAAATTGGCAAAAAGGAGAGAAAATTCGAGAGGTGAGGTTGAGATGGGAAGGAAGTTAGTGTCTGAACGGATCGAAGTCACAATAGCTCAAGTGGTAGAGCAGCGGCGTCTCAAGCCGAAGATCGTGGGTTCGAATCCAGCTCGTGCCATTGACTTTTTTATCAAAACTAAAAACCTTAATTAATTGTAATTTTTTAATTCGATTTTTTTTCAGAACCACAAGATGACCGTTTTTTGACTGAGAAATTTTGCGAAACGGGCACCTCTCTGTTCAAGAGATTCATCAGCTCCAGGAAGTTCGAAGTGTCCAAATTTCTGAACTCACTGCTCGAGGAAGACTAAAAGATTCAATCAGAATGGACTGATCGCTTTTCGCCCCGTAAGAGGACCAGAATCAACCAGAACACACGTAGTTGCACGGCTTGCATTTGCTCGAGAACACAGCCATTGTTCTTTGGACGATTGGTCTGCTGGACCTTTTGCAGATGAGTGTAGATTTGCTCTATTGTCTTTAGATGGGCATGATAGAGTGTGGAGAAAGCGAAATGAAAGGTACGAAGCCTGTAAGTTTTCCCAGTGTCAACCTTTTCAACGTAGCTCAGCGACGGGAATTTCAATGGAGTCGCACAGAGTTGGTTGTTGTTCGTGGTGGGTCTTTGACGGCCACTCGCTATGTGGATGCAATTTTGGAACATCATGCGTTGCCTATCCTCGATAAAATCAGCGACAATCCTATTCTAATGCACGATAATGCTCGTCCACATGTCACTCGCATAGTACAAACCTTCAACAGTATAACATCAGGGTCTTAGCCCGGGCGATCCGTTTCCAGACTTGAAAACCGATCGAACATTTATGGGATAACCTCAAACGACAAATAAGAGCACGTCCATCACTTCTTGATACACTTCACGATATTAAAAGGACTCTTCGTGAAGAATAGGCTAACGTCCAGAAAAGAGTCATTTCCAGACTGGTAGAAAGTATGCCGAAGGTGTCTTCAAGGGGTCATTAAAGCAAGAGGAGGAAATACGCGATATCAAAATTTTAATTAAAAATTTAAACCAAAATTCAAATAAATTTTATTTGTCCGTCTTTTTCCTTTTTTTTATTTTTTTTTTATTTTTTCCCTTAGCAATTTTTTTTAACAAAGACTCACTTATTAAACATTAAAAAACGTGAAACTGATTAATATATAAAAATATATACAAACTAAGTTATATTACATGTGGGTGGAATTTTTTTCCTGTCAGTGTATGAAAAGTAACAAAAAAAATAGTCAGCCAGTAATGTAACTTTTTTTTTAGTTTGATTTTTTTTGCAGAACTTTACTACTTTCAATTTGGTGATAACAATGAGATGGAAATCTAGACTAATTAAAACAAGAGTGGAGAAAATACCAAATAGCAGTTCTAAAATGTTCTCTCCAAAATGTTGTATGTTTAATTAATGCTTGTGTCAGTATCATTTTCTCTACCTAAGAGGTCTCACGACCATCGACTCTTTGGTCGGCAGTAGTGATCTAGGGAAATTGTCGGGATGCAAGTTTTTGAATGTATTGATAGTGGTTGGGAGGGTTTTGTGAAATTACAAAATGGAGTATCAAGGATTTTCCGTAATTCGTAGTATTAAAGATTGGGCAGTTTGTAAGCGGCGGATGTTGAAAGGTTTAGCTGAACCCCACACTTCCAGTCCGTATGTCCATATCGTCTTAACTAAAGTGTAAAGTAGCCTTTTATTTTTTGGGAGTTAAATGAAAGCTTTTGTCAAGAAGTCATGCACGAGCCCTATATCGAGTCTTAACTTGACGTTTCAGTCGTGTGTGATGATTCCACCGTGGAATTTCTACGTCAAGGTGGACCGAGGTACCGCACTTTGTCCGCAGTTGTGAGGGTGAATATTATTTGACTGGAAGGGAGATCCTTTTAGAGATTCATTTTAAAGCATACTTTAAAAAGCTTAAATAAATTTTCATTGAAACAAAAAGTAGACAATTTTGTGCTGGAAAAATTGAGCGTGCCCTCCCATCATCGACACCAGTTTTTTTTTTTAATGCAAATTATTTTGGCCTTCCAGAAGCGCAATCCAGAAAGGTGGGTATGCCGCTGGAAGCTAATTTAATGGAGAACTTTTGAAGGAATTTGCAAAGCTGCAGGAGTTTGTAGTTATTAACAGTTACCAATCCAAAATTTTTAAACAAATTTCAAATTTCAACATTGTTCTTTCTGAATTTTTCGTACAAACTTTTTTCATCAATTCTCCAATGTAAAGAGGTTTTCTTACAACAAATTTAACGTTCTTTCAGATGGCACAAACCAGATTTTTATTTAGTCAGTAATTCTTAAGTTATAAGCAATTCAGTGGACCTAAGTCGAAAAATTTTAAAAAACCCTGAAAGTAGTTCTTTATCGCTGAGATTTGGACAGAGGTTTATAGGAAGTTTTTTGTTACATAAGGTCAGCAAAAATACTTGAAATTTTCGACACTTATCGCCAGTCACCCTGTATATTTTTCTATTTACTATCATCAATACGGTTTCATTAAAATAGACGTATGTATATTTGCCTATATTATTACTTTATCTCATAAATGAACGAAAAAAATATATTTTTATTTCACTATGATATTTCGAAGAAATCTTTTATTTATTTTTTCGTACTTTTCATTTGTACATTATGTCATTTGTTCGCAAGATTAATATTTTTAAGATTTTCTTAAAATGTTAAAATTTTTGGGGGTTAATATTTTCAAAACTTTAAAAAAATTTAGACAAGGTAAATTTTATCAAACAAAATAGGTCTACTATCAATTTTTATAAACTTATTCAACTGTATTTACGACTTTTACGTCAACCTAGGCTCGTGAACAATATGCTGGAACAAATTTATTTTTAGATGATAGAAAATATTTCAAAATTGTAAAATCACTCAACAACATTTATAGATAAACTGTCTTACAAATTAGTAATTTTATAACTTTGTTAATGTATTTCTTCGCAATATTGCACTTAATGAGTTGTTTATTTTTAAAGGGTTTTAACTGTTATCAACCATTATTCAACCTATTCAATCAACATTTTACAAAACTTTACAAAATTGAAAAATAAATGTTAATCCCATCAGTTAATCCTGCGTTGAAAACAAAATCAATTTTATATTAAAATGTCGCTTTTTTTTAATACAAAACCGCTGATTTGAGTTTGCTACCGTCACGCCAAGCTTAGCTCATAAATTAACGAAGAAAACAATTATTGTCCACTATGATTCATCATAGAAACCAATTTTTATTTCATTTGTACTTCTTACAATTCTACTTTCATCCGATTCTGATCATTTGTTCGTAAGATTGCACTAAAAACGTATTGTTTTTGGAGGTGTTTCAAAAGTTGTACTAGTTTAAGACAGTTTTATAATTCTTAATAAACCACAAAAAGATTTATTTTTGTTTTATGAAACTTTTAAATTATATTTACGGCACTCTCAACACGACACGCAAGAATGGCACAATTTCACAGAAGACAAACACTTTGAGCCCTGAAGATGATCTCAATAAAGATCGAAACGTTGGCACGATAAAGAAAATGTTTTTCTGAAACCTACATCACACCAGATCGCATCTCACGATTTCGGAATAATTATATTTACGGCTTTCACGTTGTGCTAAGCCCATACACATGTTGGGCTTTTTAATTTTAGACTCGCTCTACAAATTTACACTTCTAAAACATCTTTTACAAATTTGTAATTTTGTTACTTCTGTTATTTTTTTGCAAATTCGCTCTTATGGACACATTCAGAAAGATTGAGACATAAATTTTAGACTACGTTCGATCCGATCATGATTTTTCGTGGAAAATATTTTAAAATCATAAACTCGTAATACAATTGCACTTTTTAAACATCTTTACGAGTTTGTAATTTTTCTATTTCTGTTATTTCTTTGTAAATTCGCACTTATAGATAAATTCACAAAGATTGAGCCATAAATTTTAGACCACGTTCGGTTTGATCATGATTCTTCGTAGAAAATATTTTAAAATCATAAACTCGCAATACAACTTTGCACTTTTTAAATATCTTTACAAGTCTTTACAATTTTATTACTTCTGTTATTTCTTTGCAAATTCGCACTTATAGATAAATTCAGAAAGATTGAGACATAAATTTTAGACCAGGTTTTAGACATATATAACATATTAGACATATTATATAGATATATATAACAACATAAAGTTTTAGACCAAAAAAATAGAACTGTTATCAAATTTTATAGACTTATTTACGACTTTTTCGTCTACCCAAGCTTATAAGGAACGTTATAAAATGTTATTCACTTTCAGATGAGTCTTCTCGTGGAAAATATCCATAATTATAAACTCGCTTTACAAATTCGCATTTGAAGTGAATCAATTTTGCAAAATTTATAGTTTCATATTTACTATAGTCGTTTTTTGTCGTTGGTTTTGATTGCATTTAAAAATTATTTCTTATGCTTTTCTAGAAGTACTCATAAGGATTTTCTTTTAAAGTGAATAATAATTTTTTATTATTTGTTATTTACAACTACAAATATTGTTTAGGGATGTATTAAGTGCATATTTTGAAATGCTGAGTGTCGTTTCAATTGTAAGATAAGTTGCCGAATGAAAACACTTATTCACACTGAAACATTAATTTCACTGATTTATGATCAAATTTAGAAAATAACAACATAAAAGAAACAATATTTAATACAAAATTAAGAGCAAAATTACTGGCTCCCTTATGGCATTATCAACAGATTTTATCATTTATAACAGCGATTTTTTTTTCTTATTTCACAAACTGTAAAATGCCGAGAAAAAAATTATCTCTGCGGTCATGGAACCAAAACGATAATCAACATACATGTACAAATGCATGCCTTTGACATTTTACCTTATTTTTAATAAATCCAGGCATGCCGTACCGAATTGAACACACTTGGGGAAAAACTTCGCGATTTATTTTGACCGACCTGGCACGTCCAGCGGTGGCGCGGTGGTGAACAGTGTTGGCTCGGGGCGAACCACCCCCGGTTATATACGTCGGAAGGGGTTGGGAACCGCGATCATGCGCCGCCACGCGGGCCAGTTTCATTCATCCTTCCACGGTCGTGTTCATTCATCGCTACCCTGTGGGATCCATGGGCTGGAACCACTTCAAAGACCTTTTTTCCGCCTTCCCAAAATTATTCGCAATAAAACAATATTAAAAATTCATTTTTTTCTCCAATTTTCATTAAATATTAAAAATAATTATTGGAAGTGTATCTCAAAAGTTTCTTTTACTTTCATTTTGTCAGACTTTTTGTAGCCCTCTCTTTTATTTTTATCCTTGTTTATCGTGACCTTCTCTTAAGGACTTCATTTTGTCCTAAGAACCTGTTAACGTTTTGTATGCCATCCTCTAGATGTATGTATGGAACGGTGGTAATCCCAGTGACACTTCTATTGCTAAAGTTGAACAAATATGTATTGCTTTCAAATCTCAGTTAAATAATAAAAAGTCCAATGCATTTCAATAATTCTGGCATGTTTTGTCCATTTTGTACAGAAAACGCTTATAAGCACTTTTACAGTTTTGGAGGACCTTTTCCGTTAATGTGCCTCCGCCCCATTCGACCGCTAACAACATAAGGAAATCATAAATACTGAAACATTTTATTTTAGGTAATTCGTGTAATAGTAATTAAGAGTATAAATTGGTAATAAAGGAAATCACATTTCAGTCCCTGGGGGCCAAAATGTAACTATTTCACTAAGACTTCGAAAACATCCACACTTCTTGCCGTACATGATTGGTGCCACATAAATTCGCATAGGTACGAGTCAAATAAACGTCGGCGGGTACCCCGCTGTCATTTGTTCCTCGCCTTTCCTTTTCCCCGTACACTTTCAATGGACTGAGTATGTGCATGGGTGGTCGGGTCGGCAAAAGTGAGAGAGTGGTTCACTGTCATATAGCGGAAACTAGGATCCTGGGATAATGTTTCATATGCCTTCCAGTGATCGGAGATGATGGCAGACCCAGATCCGATCACGAATTATGAGCCTGAGAGTAGCGACTGATAATGGTAATGGTGACTAGAAAACTTTCTCTCGTTTCGCGGCAAATGCCACCAAAAACCCACTGTGGTAAGATTCTGCCGGCGCGAAAACAGCGATTCATCAATTTCCACAGTGCAATTGGGGCCACCAATGCGAGAATGTCTGCACAAAATAGAGTTCGCACAGACTTCGTGCATAAAGTTGCACCAATCGACGAACGTGTTATGCTTTGTACTTAACTCTCTTTCACAAAATTTAACGCTTACCATTTCGTATGCCCAAACGTATATGGACAGCACGATGGTCGAATATGGCAGTCTTGTACCAGTTAAATAAATGTTACTTCTTAACGCCATTTCCGCCTTGAATTTGGTTTGTAGCACCTCCACTTGTCACGAGATCCTGTCAAATGGAGTCTCGCGTCGTGTCGTCCTGTACATCGCATAGCTAATGGAAGAACTCCCTTTCCTGAAGGAAACGAACTGCCGTTTCCTTGGTTTTGACGGCGTCGTAATGTGTGAGAAAGTGCATTTTTATTTAACACCGAACTATACACCTTGACTCAAAACCTGATAAGAAAGGTAGGATAAGAGCCAAAGCTCAGAGACCTGACCTGTGTCTCGATCTCTATCACCGAGCGCGGTCGAGTGAGGCGGAGGCACAATAACGGAAAAGGTCCGTTTTGGAGAAAAAACATCCTATTGGTAGGCAGACAACAGATTAAAGAACTTGGCATCACCTACTGTAACAACTGCACCTCAATAATTAATAAGGCTAATCAAATTTTAAGTTTCATACTAACTTTTATCATTTTTTATCAAGTTATTCTTAATTATACATATATATATATAGGGTGGGCAGATATTATACAACTAACCTAATTGAAGGTCGATGGGTACTCGATATTTCGTCTTCTCGCGTCACACATTCACGCTAATAAATACTCTCAACTCAAACTCGGCACACAAGCAATTGTAAAGATTACCAGTGTTATTACAAATTAGATAAGATGGTTGATTTAGAAATGAAAGGACATCAGCAAACAAGGCTCAAATTGGATCGTATATTTCTTCATAGATTGATTGGTTTGTTTATATAAGCGCAATTCTGCAGATATATGTATTCATACACGTATATAAAAAATTTGTAACACTTGGGTTTTGGTTAACTTAACTTTAGGTTAACTGATAGGCTAACTAAGGCAAAAACTAATCTAATTGAGGGTCAATGGAGCGCTGAATATTTTGCCAGCAAACCTCTCATACTGCACATCCACGTAAATAAATACATGCACTCTCAATATTACTATTAGTACACCTTTTCTGGCCTTATATATATGCAGGGTGGGTGACCAAGACCTGAGGGGTAAAATGCCTGGGTAGACTCGTACCCCATCCCTAGAAGGTCCGGGACTTGGTCAGCTCATGTGTCCTGCATAAATCTTTTGGACTTGCTCACAAACCCCAAGATTTTGGACCATTTTATCTCGAGGAGTGATTTGGTGATGTCCGCTCCTTCAACAATTTCAAATCTCAACCTAGCATAACTACCACACTCTGCAAGGTAGTGCCTTGCCGTTTCTTCTTTTATTTCACAAAAACGGTGCACAAATTCTGGTAGAATGCCCATTATGGAGAGGTGTCTTCTCAGTGGGCAGTGGCCAGTCAGAATACTTATCAGCCTCCTAATTCCCTTCCTTGAGATAGAGAAGAACCATTTCGATTCTGCTGGTTTGACCACCTTAACAACCTCTTTCGATTGCCTGTGTCTGGGGGATAAATTCCACTCCTTAAGGAATTGTTTCATGCCCCAGTTATTAATACTCTATTCCACTGTGTTCATGTGTGAGGTAATATCGGTTGTGGCCTGATTATATGGAATAAATGGGGAGTCGAAATGAGAAGTTGGTGGTATGGGTGATCGAAGTCACGGTAGCTCAAGTGGTTAGAGCAGTCGCGTATTGAGTTGAAAGGTCTTGGGTTTGAATCCCCAGTTTTTAATTTCGAAAAAATTGTGTATAATTATTATTGAGTTAAGGTTTCATACATAGAGCTATGAAAAATTTAAAGGCGCAGATGGAATCTGTACTCTTTAAGGCTATTACTCATCAAATTTTAGAATACTGTTCAGTTGCTTGGTCACCACATCAGAAAATACTAAGTAATTTCATAGAAAATGTATAGTGACAAATTATTCGCACTCTCTGTTTAAAAATTACTAGAACCTACATGGATCACCATACAAACTTATGAAATCCGTAGAACTGCAACCACTAAACACAAAATAATGATCTGGTATTTTCTTACAAATTCTTAAATATATGACCATCTGTTCACAAATAATTATTTTGTTAAATTTCCATGTTCCACTGTGTAATACCAGACACAAAAAATATTACCCATAGGAGTTCAATTTAGCTAAATATCAAGCTTTAAAGAGGGTCTAGGGATGTGACCATGCATTAACAACTGAAATAAATTGGTGTGTTCAGTTTACAAAAATAAACATTATAGATTTAAAATATTTCAGTTTTTAACATTCCTTCTCACTTCCTTTATACTTGTTTATATTTTTGTTGTTTAATTGAATTTTTTCATTCCGCCTCACTTCTTTTACATTTTTATACACACTGTATTGACACAACACTTACAATATTATATTTATGTTTGTTATTATGAATATGTCCATATATTTTATTACTGTTATATGAATACTATTATTTATGTTTCAATTATTCATTCAAATTGGAGCGTCTCGGCACAACGGTGGTTCTGGAGGGTACTAAAAGGTGGATGAGGCAGCTAAGGCTGGGACATTCCAACCTGCAGACTTCACCACTGAAATCTGGCCCTCTGATGCTAAGAATGCAATAAAAATATTGATTAAAAAGATGGTGGCAGCATCAATGCGCTGGATCGACAGAGAATCTCTCACATCAAGAGCACTGTTAATAGGTGGCCCTCGAGGATATGACTTGTAGAAAAAGGGTCGTCCTCACCTGATTGAGAATAAGTCATTCGAGGTTGACACACAGACACTTAATTTTGGATCAAAAACCATGTATGTATATGGCATGCAGAGAAATTTGCTTGATGTGTCCCACCTAATTGAAAGGTGCAATTGCTTGGCTCCATAAAGAATGCCACCCGATTGAGAATTATCCTTAACCACAGCAGCGAGTATTCTCTGTTCCGATTCTTGGAGGAAACGGGATTGTTCTATTATATGTAGTAATAACGTTGTATATACCTAGCCTGTGTTGAGAGTGAATGTATTTATTGGCGTGAATGTGTGATGTGAGAGGGTCGTTGGTGGAATATCAAGTACCCCCTCAACCCTCAATTAGGTTAGTTGTACAACATGGTAAAGGAGGAATATCAAGTACTCCACCACTCTAATTGAATGAATGATACGTAATTAGAAGTGAATATATTTAAATATGAACAGAAGTATGAAAGGGTTTGGAATTGCATGTGTTGAATGTTGAATTGACCTAGCTGTTGATGAAACCCCTCCCCCTCCCAAGACAAAACTCGGTGGCTGGACAGATAGGTCTTAGGTCTGCTCCAGACTGCCAACACCCGGGGTGGGTGATTCTCAAGACTGCCGACAGTTTACTGTAAACAGCAAAAGCTGGAATTGCCAATGGCCTAAGAGAAGTGATTTAGCATTTGAATGCATGTACATACAAGTGTGGATTTGAGCCTATATAAATCCAAATTTGCATCATTCATTATTACTATTATGTATAGTTTAATCCTTACAAAAGTTGTAACTAGGTATTTACCTGCATAAATAAATCATTCATAACTTTATATGAATTATAAAGTATAAACTTACCAGTAAAGAAGTAAGGTTTCACAATTGTTTCTACATTGACAAAAAAATTGTTGAAAATCCACAATTTTTGTAGTATCGCAATT